GAGGTTGCTGTGAGCTAGGCTGACGCCACGGCACTCTAGTCCGGGCAACAGAGTGAGACTCTGTCTCAAAAAGAAAGGACGAGACCCGAGGGCTGGGCCTGGGCCGCACACGGCTCCGGTGTCCACGAAGGTTTCTGCAGGACACCCTCTGGTCAGGTTGTTAGCAGAGGGCAGAGTTGTGGACTGTCCTCTGTCCCGCCCCACAGGAGCACTGAGCGCCGGCCACAGACGGCCCGTGCGGCCCTGGAGGGACACAGCTGAGGCTCTGCCCAAGGCTGGGCCTCCACCCCCGGGCCACAGTCAGACGGGGCTGGGGCGGGTCTGTCTCGACAGCCGCAGGTCCTGAGTCCGCGGCCAGGGAAGCGGAGTCCCAGTCTCCTGCCCAGGCAGGGCGTGGGGGTCAGAGGGCCTCACGGAGCTGAACGGTGGCTGGGACCCAGGGCACACGCTGGACAGAGACAAGTGCCTCGGGGTCTGCGAGGTGGGCCTCGGGCGGGTACAGGCCTCTGCTCTGACACACCCTCGGGAGGACTGTCCCTTCCAACGAGGGGCTGGGAGCGGCCATGTCAGGCGGGAGAAGTGGGAGCCCGGGCACCCGCTTGCCAGAGAAGTGGCCAAAACCAAAGCGCCGGGCAGGCTCCGTGGGCTCTGCTGGCCCCTCAGCCCTCGCAGGAAGTGGGTGCGTTGGAAAGGTTTCTTACTGAGTTTTAAACAAAGGTGCAACCGACCCCGCGTGGAAACCTACTGCAGTTTCCAACACGCCATCTGTGCGCCTGGCCCCTCGCGGCGGGTCCCACGCTTCTCCTCCCCCGCCACCTGCCCAGCCTGTGTCCCTCCACTCCAGGGGACGTGCCCCCCGTCAGGGAGCCCCCGCCCACGAGACCCGCGCACTCACCAGGAAGCCGGAGGTGCTGTCCAGCAGGCAGCGCACACGGCAGACGAAGCAGCGGGTCAGGAAGGCGGCGTACTCGGCCGGCGCGCCCGCAGCCCCCTCCTGGGCCCCGAGCAGCCTGCGCAGGACGGCGTCCTCACCTGCCAGGCGGAGAGGCACACCCTGGTCACCGCACGCAGAGCACACAGAGCAGGCTGCGGTGACACCAGCCCCTCCCTGAACCCCACCCCGCAGACCCCGCTCCTCCATATTCCGCCTTCGCCGTCCCCTGCCTTTAAAAACGATTTTTAGTGCACACGCACGTGTGCCTGCTATTCGGTTTGCCTGTCCTGCGTTCCGTGAGATGGGACGGCACGCGGGCAGCCGGGCTTGCTTTCGGCCATCGTGCTGCTGCGGGAGGCTGTTTAGGACACTTCTGGTGACGTGGGACAGGGCCAGGGAGCTGCAGGGACCCCCGGCAGACGCCATCTCTCCAGGGCCCGGGTGCGACTGTGCCTCTGAGCCCCCACGCCCTGGGGCCCATCGAGGAGTGTGCGGTGGCCGGGCTCACCTTTACGGATTTGGCGGGGGCGGGGCGGTGAGCCGGTTTGCAGGGGGTCTTGTGCACAAAGGGGCAACCGACTCTCGAAAGCATCCAGGGGTGCAAACGCACTCAGGAGCCGCCCAAAGAGCCGGGGTGGCAGAGGTGCGGGGACATGGGGAAGAGGTCTCCAAAGAAAGGTGCGGTTCAGCGCTAAGCCCAGCAGGGAAGAGCAGGAAGCAGGCACAGCGGCACGCGTTCTCCGGAGGCAGCGGCGCGCTCACAGGAGGGACTCCGGGTGCTGGCTGGCCCACCTGTGTCTGAGAGCGGGGGCTGCCCACACACCGCCTGGGGGGGGTCCATGGCCCAGTGGAGCTGCCGGCTGAAGTCTTGGCGGTCGTCCACGTGGATGTAGTCATAGATGTTTTGGTGCATTACGTCCGTCTGAAACATCGCAACAAGGTTATTGCAACCTCACCCTAAATGAATGTGCACGCTTCATTCCAATGATTAACAACTGAAAACAGGCCACATCCATCTGTCAGAGCGGGTCACATCCAGGAAGACAGAGTCCCTCGGAGAAGGCAGGAGTTTGGCCCTGGGGCCCCGGCACGGACTCCTGGAAGGGAGCGCCCCGGGCTGTCACCTGCCTGCAGGCAGCGCCAGGCACAAACACAGCAGGAGGCTCAGAGACGGAACATGCTCTGGGCCAGGGCCGAGACACCCACTTTCCTGCGTCACTGCACGGCTCGTGACGCCCGGGCCTCCGCCTGTGCCCGTGTCCGTGGTGCCGCCAGGGCCGCCAGTCACGGGCCCCTCCCCCATCCGCTCTGCGCCCACCGCTAGGAAGCAGATCCCGGCCCTCACGCAGAGCGCAGGCCCCTCGCCCACGTCTGGAGGAGACAGGCCCAGCCGCGGCTACGAGGACCGACCTCAGCGGGACTCGAGTGCTGCCCTGGTCAATAACGTCTGAGAGGGTCGACGCACCCGGAGGCCGCGTCTCCACGGCCCTGTCCGTCCTTGCAGCTGAAGGAGTCACTCGGTACCCCAGCCGGGCGCCGGGCCCTGCGGGGACTGTGGTGATCCCTGTGGACTCGGCTCCCTCGGGGCGGCTGTTTCTAAGCGCGACCGCTTCCTACTGGACCATGATAACCAGCCGACTCCCCTCAAATGCAGGAAAAGCTCCGAAGAATCAGCGAGGCACCGTTTGCGACAAGATGTAACTGTCAGCTGACAGGGCGGCACAGACCCGCCGCCTTGCCAAGGAGCCCTCTCTGCTGCCCGTGGCCCCTGGGGGGACTCGCTGGGACCACCCGGCGTCAGACCAGGTGCGACCTCAGGAAGGCGGGAAAAGACAGGCACCGCGATAGCTGGGTGCTGAGCACACGTGCACCCCGCAGTCTAAAGAGAACACGTTTTCACAGACGGAGGTGGGCAGATGGAGTCCAGGGAGGGGCAGAGGGAGGTCAGAGGTCAGATGG